CAAACCAGAGGGCAATGATGAACCCTTAGGAATATAAGTCAAATGTCAACTCTGAGTCCAAAAGTCTTTAAATGATGTGATATTTCTTTTTTCCTGGCATTTGATGATGCAAATAAATGGCATAGGTACCTTTGGGCAGTAGAATTATGAAGCTGTTGCACAGTATTTTTATCACAGCAGACTTGGTAATACCATGTCTTCCACCCCTTTCAGAAGAGTAGAGTTAAGGATTATCTATATAACTTATACATGCTGAATCCWCTCAAATATCTTCCTGAGCCTTTACTTTTCTCTCTACAACCTATTAGGGAAATTCCAGAATTTCAACTTCCCTGATAGTAGTGAGTGCATAAAACAAAATACGTAGTTGATTATAAATAAATAATAACTATTTGTAAGCTGACCCATAAATTTGGGGCTTTGGTGGTGATGAGGTCACCAGAGGAAGACCCATAAATAGGGATAGCATTCCTTTTTTCCTTTATTAGTTCTTTTTTAGTTATACATAACATTAGAATTCATTTTGACAAAATTATGATAGCATGGAATTTGTTCTAATTCAATCCCCAGTACTTCCCCTTTCCCTCCCGTTGTTCCCCTCTCTACTCTAATGATCTTTCTTCTATTCACTTATAGTTTTTTTAATTGTGGATATATACATGATGGTGAGATTCACATGGTGGTTGTGGTATATTCATGTACATACACAGGAATAATTGGTCAGATTCATTCCACTATTCTTTMATTATCACATCCCTCCTCCCTCCCCTTCAAAGATCAGTGAAGTATATGAAGAAAATGCTTTCAAGTAAAAAAAAAAAATCTTCTGACATCTTAATTACCAAAGAATCACTGTAGTGCAGGAATTATGATAGCAGATCCTAAATTCAAACTGCCAGACTTTGAGTCTAACCTAATAGATCTTGAGGGTAGTTAGTATCTCTGCACCCCAGACTCTTTCTCTGTATTGTGGATAATGAAAGAATCTGCTACAAAAAATTCAAGGTAAATCACTTAGAAAAATGTCTGGATCATGAGAAGTACTATGTGAGTCATATCGGTTGTTCCATTCCCTAGCTTACAAACTACGAGAAACAATCATAATTCCATCAAACGTAAAAAGAAAACTTCAATCAATAGGGTTCTTTCCAATCTTTAGTAACCAAGTTACTGCACAATTTTTAGACAAAGAGAACTTTCACACTATTTTACTAATATTCCATTTTCTATTTTCTGAAATATTTGAAATTTACCTTTATGAGAAAGAAGCATAATGATTTTAATGTGACTTAATTAAGCAGCATACACAATTCACCAATCACGTTTCTCACAAAAAGGAAGTATCATCAAGCTAACTGCATGTATGGAAATGTTACAACAAATTCTAATAATATGTACAAATAATACGTGTTAATTTTAAAAGATAATTTTAAAAAATTACTAAGAAAAGTATAAATAGGAAGTTGGGARGCTGACCTTTCCAGATGTTGCACTTACCATAAGTCCACTGTCCTCAAGACTAAAGTTCAGCTTTCCTACTGTGACACTCCGGCAGTGCGCAAGCGCAGAGCAGCCCAAACCTTGCGCGTCTGTGCATGGGGACCAGGTGTGAAGGCTTGTGTCTAAGCTAGGGGTTTGCCAGCCTTACTGGTAGCGGTGTTCAAGTGCTCTACTTCCACATTGATGAGACAGAGAAGTGTTGCTTGTGGAGGAAATCCTCAATGAGACCATGGTCATCTGCAGTTATAGAACCCAGTTGCAGTGCAAGCAAAAGTTATTCCTTCCCCTGATSGGCATACAGGTGGAGGTGAAGGACCCTCATATCCTCCACCATTTGACCCAGCTATCCCTCTCCTTGGTCTATACCCAAAGGACTTTAAAACAGCATACTACAGAAACACAGCCACATCAATGTTTACAGCAGCACAATTCACAATAGCTAAACTGTTGAACCAATCTAGATGCCCTTCAATACATGAATGGATAAAGAAATTGTGGTATATATACACAATGGGATATTACTCAGCTTTAAAAAAGAATAAAATTATGGCATTTGCAGGTAAATGGATGGAGTTGTAGAATATCATGCTAAGTGAAGTAAGCCAATCTCTAAAAACCAAAGGTCGAATGTTTTCTCTGATATGTGGATRCTGATCCATAATGGGGATGGTGGGGAGGCAGCATGGGAGGAATGGAGGAACTTTAGACAGGGCAAAGGAAGGGAGGACAAAGGAGGGGGCATGGGCGTAGGAAAGTTGGCAAAATGAGATGGACATCATTACCGTAGTACATGTATGAAGACACAATTGGTATGACTATTTTGTGTACAACCAGAGACATGAAAAATTGTGCTCTATATGTGTACTATAAATTGAAATGCATTCTGCTGTCATGTATAGCAAATTAGAATAAATAAATTTTTTTAAAAAGCTTCTCTGAGGCCAAGAAGTTAATGTAGTGCCCTCTCCATATGAGCCTTTTCACTTGAATACTTTTGTACTTTCCCTAACCAATCCATGAACTACCCAAACCACTTGGATTTTGAGGATGAGAGAAATGAAAAAGAATTATTTCTCAACTCTATGGCAACAAATAATTCAGTACAGTAACTTGCTTAAACCTGGTTCTCAAGGACGCAGGACATTGCTCCAAGAGTTCAAATTCTATTTTAGGGCTTATGAGGAGTTGAAACTAATCCAACACTAAATCTTGTTTGTTTTGCCTCCAGCAATTTCCCTGTCCTCTCACAAAATGAGCAAATGACCTTCGGTTTTGTCTTCATCTAATTATCTAGTATGAGACTGGCATACCCCACAGAGAAAACCCTGCCTCAGTGCTCCCTGGCCAGTTCTGGGTTCACTCAATGGCTTTGGAAATATAAATAAGGGGGAGGTCTTGGTCCCAGAGAATTGAAATGTTTTTCTACATATTAGAATGATTTTTTTATAAATTATTTATTTTCTTTCATAGTTGAAGTATTACTGCCAACAATCCAGTTCCTAGGCACTCTGTTTATTCACACATTTTTAATAATTGCCATAGCAGCTCTCAAGATTTCAGCAGTCTGTAGGCCAGAAAGCAGCTACTCTCAAGGCCAAATCAGGCTTAGCAGAATTCTCTTGGACACCTGTGATTCTCATAGGGCCTCAGAGTCAAAGATAGTGGCAGAACCATAATGGACAAAGCACTCTTACCCTCCCTCTTACCCTCACTTTTAAGGGAACCAAATTTGGTTCTTTGTTCAGATTTTTTTCAATGAAACAAAATATCTTATAGTAACTGTGTTTGAGACAAAATAAGAATTTATGGGCACAGGAAGGTAAAAAGGGAAAGATTCTTGTTCTGCCTGGGTGGGTGACCTGGAATGGACTTTTGTAAGGACTTATGCTAGGGCTTAGCTTGGATGGGCCTCTTTCCAGGGGTCTATAGGTGGACAGAGTGGTTGCTTAACCATTTTCAGAAGCCAACCAAGTAAAGAACATGTCAGCAAGGACATGTGAGGAAGTTAAGTACTTGATTTCTTAGCCCCTGAATCATAAATGTGAATAGCTAATGCCCTTCTCCTATACTAAAACTTTATGATTAATTGCCCATTCTTGACATTGTTGTTTCATAATTTTATTATATATTTATTTGGAATATTATTTATTAAATTATTTTATCTGACCTGTTTTTTGGACAAAACAATAGACAAAGAGAACAGCTGATAAAATAGTTCCAGAAATAGGTCCCAAAATATATAATAATTTAGTGTATTAAAATACATTGCTTCAATTCAAAGGAAAGAAATGGAACAGAGAAAAAGTAAATGCAAGCCTTGCCTTACCATATAGAAATTCAAAATAGATTAAATATTGATAATTTTTAGGGATAAGGAAGCATCATTTACTTTGTTACTCAGGGGGCATTCATGCCCATACAGTAAATTTTAATCAAGCATCCTCATAAACACAACTATAAACAAAAGAATACTACTTAGTAGTGAGGGTTAAACTTTTTGTAATTAAAACAATGGCTTAAAATTCAGCTTTGGTAAATCTCGAACAAAGAAATGTAGTGGTAGAAATTAGGGAAGGATTTAGGAATGATAAAGAAATGCTAATGACAACTTACTCAGAGGAAGGAATAAAAAAAGAGGTATATAAAGCTCTATTCCTCAAAATTAAGCCTACAAAAACTGTTTAAGAGTAGGGCTGGGGTTGTGGCTTGGTGGTAGAGCTCTTGTCTATCATACATGAAGCATTGGGTTCAATCCCCAGCACCACTTAAAAAAAAAAAAAAA